TTAATTAGTGATAACATCACAAGGATTATTCTACATTAATTTTCTGCCAATATTTCCCTTTCACCTAAATCTTACACACTGGACCTTTAAACAAAAGACTTGCTGACATGTCACAATAGGGATGACACAGGTGGACATTCTGGTTTAGTGTTGGCTGTTAAATTACAAATGTCTACATCAGTGCACAAATGTCCCTGTGATTATCTATTGAAGCAGAACAGAGCTGATGTTGCTGTTAACTTTAACAGTAACACACATCTGCTGTGGAAAAAAGCTGAATGTGTGATTTTAAAATGCAAACATGAGCTGCTGCTAACACAAACCACCGCTTCATCACTTCCCATACTTACGTCTTTGGCCACGAGACCTTCCAGAGCTTCAAACTGGCTCCGTGACAGGAGTCTGGACACATGGGAGAAAGCCTGCAAGACCAAAACAATGTCCTCGTCAACAACAGCGAACTACCGGGGGGTGCGACGCGGAGACATCGCTCCTGAATACACCAGCAACTTCCTCCGCCGGGTTCCCACACCTGCTTCGCTCCCTCCGTGAACTCCTCGATGCTGAACTCTTTGTCAAAGTAAGCTCGGATCAGAAAGTAGTAGATCCGGGTGCGGAGCCAGATGAAGGGGTTGGGGATACCCACCACCATCACCTTCTGGTTCTGTCTCTCTCTGCCCCGGTCGGAGCTGTAGGGTCGGACCGCTGCTGCCGCCGCACCGGCGGCTAAGGGGGGCGCCGGCCGCAGGACTATACGTTCATTTAAAAACAGACGAGTCCAGCTGAATGTGGATGGAACCCTGTAACAACCTCTCAACATGGGCAGCGCCATCTTTCAGTTCCTCGGAACTCTTCTTATCCGTGTACTTGTATCGTCCGGGGAGGAACAAAATACAGACACTAATGCAAAAACACGCGGAGACAGTGATGCTTTATGATATGAATCAAACCGAGACGTTTTGTAGTCAGTGAGCCCCACTGATTATTTACACTCCGGACTTTGACTGGTTATTTTATTTTGTTTTAGAGGGGACCGCTAAGAGTGTAACACCCAGGGAAGTCGTGTTCACCTCGGGGGAGTTGGACATGGAGCACCAGGAGAGGACACCCGTGCCCATATTTACACAAGTGGACAGGGACGTTTTTCTGCGAGACATCTGTCCAGAGGTAAAACCTGCTTCCTCCATGGCTGCACGAAATGTGCACATTGCATTGGTGACTCGCGAGGCTGCTTCTTCATTTCCGGTTTCCCGTTTGCTATTCGATTGAATCGATTTCATGATCGGTTCGTGATCAGAAGCAGTAAAGTCAAGATTCGACCTCTTCACACCAGAACCTTCTAAATGGCAGCTGTGAAACGTGTGTTTTGGTAGATCATTCATTGAATATCCTTTGGTTTTTGAATGTATTTTTGTGATATGCGTATTTTAATATTTAGTGCTCATTTTTAGAGACGGAGCTGCTTAAAGTCCTCAGTTTAACCCACCCTGAGTCTAATCCTGGTCTTCAGCCCTTCTAACTCACTGTGAAACTTAACTTACATCTATTGGAAAAACTGCAGTCCTGCACCGGGGCCAGTGAGCCAGTGTCTATTAGGGTTGTTACGCTACAGGTGCTTGTAGGGGACAAAAAGGCCAAAGACAAACGATGAAAGTTTCATATCACTTATTATCTGAGGAGGTGACACAGAATTTCAAGTGACCCTTGTTGATCGTGACCTCAACTGTATGCATGTCAATTTTCAAGAGATTTTACTGTAGACATTATACTTACATGAAAGGTAATTTCGGCATTCCTACCTTGCTGCTCCTATTGAATATTATTGTGAAAACCCTTAATAGGTGAGAGATAATTGTCCCATCATTGTTGTCCCTCATGAGCCCCACACATCATTTGTCATCATCTAACTTGTAAATTAAACCCAGTGTAGTTAGTGGTGGACACTACACAGAAACAAAAGTTACCGTTGACTAACAATGCCTTCGTATTGTGTCTCTCTCCCGGAACAGGATCAGACTTTTTAACCAGTTTTTAAATATATGAATGTTATTTACTATTAAAGTACTTTAAACAGTTTCATCACACTCCATGAACGAACCTATAAGTGTATTTAACTTTCTTACTTTAAAATATTTGAATACCCCTACAGCTTTCTCTCACAGGTTTAAACCTCAGATTTTAGCACCATTGCTGGGGTTGCTAATCTGTGACTACATTAGGTGCACTTAGTAGTGGAATTAAACTATATGAATATAGATTAGAAAAAACAGTGAAGTCAAATTTTTAATGGCCAGAAGAAGAATTTTAATGCTGCTTGTCATGTTTTCTGTGTAACCTGCATGGACAAAATCCTTACTTATGGGTCACGACCTTAAGTAAACTAATCAAAAACTTGAACCATAAACTATACAGTACACCGGTATTTCACAGGCAGCAGGCAGTGGGAGCGGGACAGACGTCTCGGAACCTCAGTAGGCCAATCAACACTCATTCCCCAATCTTGCTCATCCCACCTTTAAATGCTCATACCTTATTTAATTTTTATTGTACAGCTGTTTCACTAGGGAGATTTCTATCAGTAGCTGATACTGATTCACATGCCTGGCACAGCATGTCATATTGACAATTTCTCAATGACTTGACAGTGGCAACACACACTTATCCACCTCCTCCCTATTCACATCATGTACCAGTCACCAGTAGTTTGCATTATTTTGACAGACTTAACTGAGCGATGAGGATTCTTTTTCAGCGCAGACCTGCCGTGCTCAGAGGTGTGTATCTTGGGCCATGCCTGGAGAAGTGGACTGTTGAATATCTCAGACTGAGAGGAGGAGACAAGGAAGTGAAGATTCATGTATCCACAGTACCACAGATGGACTTCCTTCACAAGAACTTTGTGTACAAGTGAGCTTTGTCTCTCACACACAAACACACACACCAGCAACACCTCCTATCCAGATTTCTCAATCACTACTAATTCTTCACAGGACTCTACCGTTCAATGAGTTTGTGAAAAGGGCATCTGAGAAAAAACACTCATCCTTTTTCCTGTGTGAGGTAAGAATCATAAAATAAGAGCATGGCATATATTATTTAACAGTATGTTGTTTTCTTTAAATGACACAAACTCCTTTTTAGGATGAGAGCTATTATCTACGATCACTGGGAGAGGACGTCCGAAAGGTATTTAGACTTTCAAATTCTGTAAGGATGAAAAAACTTGCTGTCCTTTTACTATTACAACATTGTGTTTTTTTTTAATGCAAATTTAATTACAGCAAATTGTCTGACTTAGTTGAATGTCTGATTGCATTTAAATGTACCATATGTATTCACCTTTTCCCACAGGAACCTGCTGACCTGAACAAACAGTTCCCGCACTTGGCAGAGGACTTTTCTATCCCACAGTTCTTTGAACCTGAGCAGTTCTTCTCCAGTGTTTTCCGTATCAGCTCCTGTGGTCTGCAATTGTGGACACACTACGATGTGAGTGTTTTAATGTGGTATGTGTAATGTTGTCAAAAGGTGAGAGGTCACCTGGGGGGTGGAGAAATGTCTGTGAACTAACAGACAAGAAGGATCCATCCAAAGCAACGTCTGTGTACTTTCTCTCCTTACATTAAATTGATAGCACCCTCAGTACGCTCTCTCTTCTTGTCTTTGTGCACATATGTCCTTCAGGTGATGGACAACCTGCTGGCTCAGGTGACAGGGATGAAGAGAGTGGTCCTCTACAGCCCCCAGGATGCATTGCACCTTTACCTGTCAGGTGAGTACAGTGGACAGATGCAACTGTCAGCCTGTTTGAATTCATGAACTATATCAATGAAGTCAGCTTTCATATTAGACTCTGATATCGTAGTGTGTCCACAATGAGGGAGTTTTTCCTCCAGTGGCCAAAGTGCTTGCTCATTGTGGGAACTGGTGGGTTTCTCTATATTTTGATTTTAAGGTCCTGACCTTCTATGTAAAGTGCCTTGAGATAATGTATATTATGATTTGGCGCTATACAAATAAAATTGAATTGATATTGATGTCATCTGATTGGATCCATTTTCAGTATTGTCTGTTTTTTAAGCTTGGTGTAATGCTTCAGTGCGCCCTTTTAATTTGAATGTCACCCAGCAGGTGATAAATCTGAGGTTCTGGACATCGATTCCCCAGATCTGAAACGATTTCCTGACTTTGTAAAGGCAAAGCGGTACGAGTGTGTGCTTGAGCCTGGAGATCTGCTCTTTATCCCTGGTAAGGAGAGTTTTCCACATTAGTCACAGAAGTAATAAAGTGATATATTACATAAGACATGAATGATTACATGAAACTGAATTAAAATTGTTCCTCGTGAATAAAATACCAGCCTTTATTTCCTTGTTTTCTGCAGCCCTGTGGTTCCATAACACCAGTGCACTGCAGTTTGGTGTGGGTGTGAACGTGTTCTGGCGCCATCTACCTGCTGACTGTTATGACAGAAAGGACCCTTACGGTAATAAAGACCCATTGGCCGCAACTCGAGCCCTTCAGGCACTGGAGAGGGCACTACACACTCTGGAGGAACTTCCATCAGATTATCGGGACTTTTACGGGCGCAGAATGATTCAGCGCATTAAAACACGAACTTACTGTGACAGTCTATCGGCCACACAGACAAAGGAGGACTCTGACAGTACATTACCCAGCAGGCAATTCACCAAACCTGGATGAGTGTGTAGTATATTACCTATGGAGCCTTTGTCCTCTTCATGTGTTCATTTGACTTTTTGTTCTAATGTTAATCTTGAGGAATGTATGGAACTTTCATTTCAGGTCTATCAAAAATAAAACTGCGTTATATCTCTTCACCATATTTTCATCGAGTTTTCTAAATTGTCAGTGTTGCAGTCATGTGACTTTATAAGAAATATATAAACCACAGTTAATCTTTTTTAAAACCTTCCCTTTAAATGAGATGACAGGAAAAATTAATATTACAACTAACTGTACAAAATATTGTATTTCATTTAAACATAGTTAGAAAGGTTAAATCTGAAAATGTCGAAACAAAACCACCAACATTGTTCTGTTTACATCTCCATGACCCACTCATACATGTGTGAGCAGTGTGGTCCGACCACCTCTAGCTCTGGGAGGTCTTAGTTTTCAACTTGGTTGGTTTATTAACTTTAATGACATGTAATTTCTAGCATTGCTCCAACCACCATCACTTTAACCAGCTATAGTGAGTGAGTGTGTCAGGCCTGTAACAGTTGACTTTCAAAAATTCCCTTTTTAATTACAAGTTTAATCTAAAAGAAGCTTCATATGTAATTACTCATTAAGAAATCCAGTCCAATCTAGAGTTCAAATCTTGCATTTTGTAAGAATTTGTCTTACCCAGGGAGATATACTTTTTTTTTTTACATGTTAAGTCACATAACTGAGTGAGTTTATATTTACTTTATAAAGAAACCATAAAACTCATGGTTCACCTATCTTCTTCTTGAGATTTCAACTGCATCAGTCTTCAGTTTGCTCACTTGCTCAATCTTTAAGCCAACATAGACCCATGGTTCAGAGAATAAGTACCTGCTGGTGGAGATTGTGACGTGGACGAAAATTCCAGCAGAGGTGGGTGAGTGCACCTTGAGCTGAAATCGTTCTGCCAACTACTGTTTTCCAATGAAAGCAACACAGCTGACATTTGGAACAAGAAAGCCTGGTGGGTGGAGGCAGGGGAGGACGATTTTACAATATGTTTCTGGAGTCCACACAAATGCCCACATGTAGATACCATATGTTTGACATTTTATTGCACAGACATGACAGTTATTTATGTTTCCTTACAAACATGGTAAAGCTATGTAAACAGTGGAGCCGCATTTCCACAGTGCGTTCAGTCTGACAACACCTTGAGTCCTCGGTGCTGCATTTCTTCAGTAAGTGTGAGCATGAGAGCCAACCAGTGACCGACTATATGATGCAGAAACAAGCAGAGATATGAGTGTACATCAGAAGGGAGGCTGCACACTGTGAGACAAACTGTTCAACATTCAATAAACCTGCGTCAGGCTGCTGGCTGACACCAGCTCAAAGCTTTTTTCACTGTGATGATTATATTGTGTTGTAGAAACTAAACAAGCCGTGTTCAGTTTCAACACAGAAAAAAACTGGACTGACACCCCAACATTTACCTTTTTAAATGTCATTTGGCTTTGGGTCAGAAAAGGAAAATACACGTAAGTTCTGCTCATTCATTGACAAAACACACAAAGCACTCACGCCGTCTTCAGGGAAAAGTCTTGGGCCATGGCCGCTGGTACTGTCCACTACACTGTGGTCTGTATCCACTTGAATTTCTCAAGTCCTCAGTGTGAGCACGGCAAATATATATATATTGAATCCTGACTAGAGGCAGTAGAAAGGGGGCAGTGCAACATTCCTGCTTCAAGGGATAACAGAGACTTCTTCTTGGTGCCGTTTAGTCCCCGGGCTCTCCATGTGGCCCACCCCCCCCCTAAACTAGATCAGTGCAGAGGTTCAACCAAATGAGGTACACAAACATCTTCTCCCCAACCTCATGTACTTCCTGGGTATGTGCACAACTCTTTCTCATCAGACAGAAAACAGAGAAAAAATGGCACATTGCTTGGTGGAGTTCTCTATTCTGCAGATTAAACAACTAACTCTGGATTTTGGGGTACATTTTCCTAATGTTGCTGTCAGGCAGATGACAGACAAAGTGCAGGATGTCTTTTTTTCCATGTGATCAGCCAGCTTTGGACACAGAGGGTGGATTTGATGTGTGGGGTTGGTGCTATGGAGTCTGTGCCATGCCGCGAATGGACTTCATCTTCTCCAGTCTTTTAGAAAGGTGGCTGTTGTTCGACTCAAGTTCGTCGACCTTGTCCAGGGAAGACCGCAACTGTGTGGTGAAACGGGGAGTTAGAGATGACTGCTGATTCAAAGGAGCCATCTGAATAATCTGCGGTGTAAGGAAGCAACACCATACCTCTCTCTGGAGTTTCCGTTTCTCCGCCTTTAGCTCATCCTCCACTTTCTCTGCGTTCTCTGCCGCAGACTTGTAGCGTGTCACCTGACCCTCCAGTCTGGTCACCTGGACAACAGAAAACAACTCTTTGACTGAGAACATTGTCATGTTTTCAAACCCACCGCACAGTCAGGTCTCCTCTCAGCTTACGTTTTGTTCTAAAGCAGTGACTTCTTGTTCGGCCTTCACCAGTTTGAACTTCAAGTCATTTATTTGCCTGTTGGAGTCTCCTGGAAAATATTCAAAACAAACATTCTTCATTCATAGGACGCAGCACACTGCAACAGAGAGGTTCAAGTGAGATATCAATGTACGTCACTTACTCTGTATTTCTGTTATGTTGGGATCATTGCCATTTTCAAGAACCTCACCGTCTGGGCATGAACTGCTGTCTGTGCCATTCTTTTGTGATTTCTGTTCCAGTTGCGCTTTCAGCTTCTTCACCTATTAATAGCAACGCCAGATGAAAAGTCACTTACTCAGCTACACTTTCTGCATGTGATGGTGTAGACCCCATCACTGTCATCTTTGTGACAGATACAATGTTATATTCTCTTTCTTTTAATGATTCTTGGCACTCTGCCCCTAGTCGGCTGGTTCCAGTTGACAAGTGAATATTAAAAGCAGGTTTTTGTGGCAGGTGGAAAATTGTACACAAAGTTTCTTTTCTTTGGCTTATTAAACTGAGAAAAGTGGAAACCTCTTGATCAGTCACAGTGATCAACCTTTTATATGGATCAAAAAGGTTGGGATAGAATAATTTCTATATAGATACTGTTTAAATTATTTGCTTATAGTGATCAAGGAGTAAACTTACAGTGTTCAGTTTGGGCTTTTTTCAACAATTGGGGAAAAAATGTAAACTGTCACGCCATCGCTCATATTTAACGACTCTGCCTCTATCAGATAAACAAACTCAAAGCTGGATTTGGCAAACCATGGTGAACTGAGACAGCTGAGAACCAGCTTTGTAGCACAAGTTATCCAGGACGGATGATGTGAGGTCAAGTTAGACCGCGTAACAAAACATATCCTAGATATGTTGAACTCGCTCTGTAGTACAGGCCTGCGATTTCCAAAACTAAATTTTGATCTACACTGACTCATGAGAAAAATATTTCTATCCTTAGCTGCTAACTTCAGTGTCCAGCACCAAACAGCAGAAAAGTTGGCAGCTCACAAGCAGCAGAGACGTGGTGTAAAGTGGGTCTATCTGTGCCACCAGAACAATAAGCTACAAGACTAAAATGAGTAACTGAAGAGTTATGATGATCACAATTGACATGACGCGTAGCAATTTGATCAGTATATGATAAAAAAATGTAGATAAGTGCAGGTTTAAAAACAGGTCACAAATATAGTTTCCTTTAACATTCTGAGAACATTTTCAATGTTTTCCCACAGAATAATTCATGGGTCTTCATTACAAAAACCAGGCAAATAATTGACTGATTTAATTTGGTTCAGTTTGACTGAATTTAAAAGGGACCTTTGGCCTTGGTGATATATGCGCTTTCCACTTTAATTCTCAAAAACTGCTGGAGACTTAAATATTTCACATTTACGCACAGTAAAAAGCATTTTTTTGGCTGTTAATTACAAATTTTGTGTTTCCAACTGCAGTGTACGATATGTGGGATTGACTCCAAATAAATGAGTGTCTATATTCCTTGTTATAAAAGTACATTCCACTCAGTCATCCCTCTTGGGGAAGATTATCAAATCATCAGTAAACAATATTAATATTGCTGTCTCAGAGAGTAAGTAAATCACTGACTCACCTGTTCTATCATTTTTTCACGCTCATCCACCAGTTTCCTCAGGCGAATCTCTAAAAGACAAAACACGCATCAAGACAATGTCTCAGAAAGGCTTGTCTCACATCTTGGTGTCATATGAATTCAAGCAACAATAAATCACAACAGCTACAGTCCATCTTTAAAAAGAACAAAATCAGTGAACATACCAGGGGTGGGGAGAACCAAGGAGATGGTGTGTGAGGGGGCTGGGTCAAGTGAGGTTGATGCATGCAACACAACAGGAGTCCATAGGGGAGTGACGGAGTGGGGTGTGAGGGGGAATGTTAGCATGCACAGACTGTGGAAAGGAGGGTCAATGCAGCTGGTGGAACTACATTCACGCTACAGCATATAACCACAATGTGTGACAACAGATATCCAAGTATAGACTGATAAAGAAGGTTTTAACGTTGAAAACAAAAATGAGTTTAGATCAACATTTCAAATAGGTGTCAACAGGGGATTTATTGGCATTTCATTGTTCAGGGACCGCAGACATCTTTTCCATAAAGTGGAACATAATGTAAACATGCATTTATCATACATTAATGTGCCTTAGAATTCAGGGCCTTGGAAATGTCTTAACTAAATATTATAATTTGAACCTTCATAACATACCTAGAAAATGTAAAAGCCTTAAAGTCTTAAAGGTGCTATATGTAAGTTTACTCTGCTACCAAATGTGGTGTCTTGCTGGAAATGGTTGACGGTGATGGCCGCTTGCCATGACCTATGACCAACGGCTACTTTTACAAGACATGAGGTCATGATGTGTCCTCTGAGCAGGAGTTGACTGGATGCTACAGCTATCAAAAAGTGACAAGAAAGTCCAGCTGGGCCACTACAAATATGTTAGCATGCTAATTTCCGGTGATGAGTAAAGGCCCGGTCACACGTGTAAATGCATCAGTTGCGAACATTCGCCTCCTGGTTATCAGTGTGAGCGAGGAGGTGAAAAAGCACATCAGAAGTGCAGCTTCTTGTGGAGTTAAACTTTGGTGACGTTTGACCTGCAACATTCACCTGCAAATTTATGTTTGTGTGATCGTGCTCAAGACTGAATTTTTCTCTTTACACTGGTAAATACGCAGCTGTACATACATAGCTATGTAGTGATAACTTATATATAGCCCCTTAAATGAGAATTAGCAAAATGTGCCCCCCCCCGAATGAGCTCTTTTAGGGAATAACAATTCCATCAAGCAGAACAAATGGTCTGAGACACTGAAACAAATATCCTCAATTAAACATCACAAGCATCATAGGCTATTACATCAATAACTAAATACAAGTAGCAGTTCTATCCACTGGTCAAAGTCCAGTCCATCCTCGCAGTTTCTTCATCTCTCCGCAAATCATCCTTTTTTTGTACATATGACCTCAATGAAAACTGATGTTTGGACTTTTACCGTGCATTTTTAAAAATAACATACATACATACACCACTGTTCAACAAAGTGCTGTTTGGTTTTGCAAATATCTATTCTACCCCCTTTTTAAGAGCTAAGCAACGACTACTGAAGGAACATCAGATACATCTATACTACAGTATATACCACTTATAAACTAAGACATTTTACAGTCCTCTTTGCCCTTGCCTTTGCCTTTCTTGCTGTTCTTCCTTACATCTTTGCTTGAATGTGGTGGCTCTGTGTCACTGGCTACATGGACGGCCCTCTCTGGTGAAACCAAACTGTCACCCTGTAACTCCTGCTTGTCTAATCCTTCCTCTACTGGGAAAGATGTTGCCTGGTTAGTGTCCTCTGCAACAACACCTGACTCTACAACATTTAAAATGGCTCCGTCCTCTATATTGGGCCGTGCCTCATCTGCCGTGGCTTCCTCATGAGCCAAAGTGCTCTGCTTGTCTTGATGTATTGTTTCAGACTCTTTATCTACCTGGTTACACTCATCAAACGTAGACGTCTCATCGTTTCTCTCAGTTGGCTTGTTTTGTGTATTTTCACTTGGATCTGACACAACTTCAACTCCCTCCTCAACGATTTCCTCTTCTTTGTTTTCTGGTGCAATGGTTTGAAAAGCTGCTTCAACATCCATGTCATCAAAATCAAAAGATTGCCCTTCCTCATCTTCACCATCCTCTTCATCACTGCCCTGCTGGTTAGGTTGAGATGAATCATCCTCACGTTTGTCTTCGCTGGATTCATGCAGGTGCTCAGCCAGAGAACAGGAGGAACCAATCTCTTCTTCTTTCTGAGAGTCTGGTGTATTTAACTTGTCAATGGTATCGGTCTCATCTGTTTCTCTGGCATTTGATTCATCTTTCAGGTCCACACACTCTAATGTCTGGCCTTCTACCTCATCTAAATGTTCAACCTGAGCTTCAGTCTCTAACAGACCTTTTTCGATGTCTAATGCATCTGGGTTATTCGTTAATGATGCGCTGTCGCCATTTTCATCATGTGAGGAGCTTTCTGGCTCGATTAAACCTCCAGGTTCCTTCAAGTCTCTCTCCAACTCTTCTTTTTGTGTCCCATCTTGTTTTAGCTCTGAATTACCACCAGCCTGACAAGGAGCAGTGACGCTGAGAGGAAAACTTTCTTGTTCAGTCTGTATTCCTGCCTCCTCTATATCTTTTGTTGTCTCCTCAGGATCTTTATCAGGAACCATGATGGGAGAGTCATCCCTTAGTGATGATGGCTCTGGTTGAGGCTTGGAGTCAGACAAGCTCTTGAGACAGTTTGTGACGTCATCAGTATATGCCGACAAGACTGATGTGAGGTCTATTCTCTCATGAACGTTTGTGGATTCAGATAAATCAGCAGCAACATCGATGTTGCTCGGAACGTGTGATTCATCTTCAGTGTTTATCTGACCGATGGTATCAGTTTTACATTCAGGCTTCATCTCATCAACAGACACAACGTCCTCATCCTCAACATTATCAATGATTTTTGACTCACTTTGGATGATGTCACCATTAGTTGAGAGTACTGACTTATCTACACTGTAAGTAAGCTTATTGTCAAGGCCATCGGTGCAGTCTGTACTGGTGGAGGTGTCAGTAAGATCACATGTACCCAGATGGGTCTCTGGAGGACATGGTATAGATTCAACCTCTCCTGCTTTCTCTGTTTCTTCTTTACCCTGCTCATCCATACTGGGTTCTTTGCATAATTCCATCGGAGTTTCAATATGAGAAAAAGTTTCAGTTGGTGCCACTACCTCTATTATGTCTGCTGTGTCACTTTGATCTTTGTTTGGTTCATTTGTTTCTTGATTAACTCTTATTTCCTCTCGAGTTTCAGTGCAAGAAAGGGGTTTGCTCGGTGCCACTTCTTTTAATTCTTCTATTGTCTCAGTTTTCAAAGTTTGTTCCTTGTCATGCTCATTTGGTTCTTGGAAAGCGTCTTTGTGAGAAAAGGTTTCAGTGGGTTCGAGTGCTTTTGCTGCTTCTTCTGCTTCCTCAATTTGTTGCCCGACCTGTTCTTTCTTTACTTGATCCATCTTTGATTCCTTGAGGATTTCAGTGACAGAATCGTCTATATTAGGTTCTGTTGTATTAGATCCAACTTGTTCTTCTTTATCTGATTCTACACTGTGTTCTGTTTTGCTGTTTTCTTTTTCTGTTTCATCTTTTTGTTGGTTCCCTTTCTTTTTGCCTCTTCTCTTCTTTTTCTTCCTTTTCCCTGAAGCATTAGCTTCACCCTGAGATTTACTGGGTATTTCCTTTGCCTCGACATTGTCTATGTCTTTTGCGATGTCCTTCACATCTTTTTGCTGAGGACATGATTCTGTACTCAAATTACTTTCCATAGCTTCTTCTTGTTTGTTTTCTTGCTTTTCACTAAGCTTGTTACATGTCTGTTTAAAATCATCCCTGTGTGTGTTAACACTGCTGCTTTCGGTTTCTGTCTCCACTAAATCTGTCTCACACCTGCTTGTTTCTGTGTCTGGACTATTTTCCTCAGCACTTGTTACAATTATATCTTTGGCTTCAGTAATTGGATGATCGGGAATGTCAATATTTAAGTCTTTGCTGAGGTCGCTTTCTCCAATGCGCTCGTCCACTGTGCTTAAGCATTTCTGTTGTTCCTCTGCAGTCTGTTCTCCACTAGACGTTTCCACTGTGGACACTGCAACATCACAGAGTTTATCAGAGCTCAACTGATTCTCTTGTGCTTCCTCTTTCACAATTTCTTGATGCTGATCTGGATCCACCTCCTCAGTCTCATCTGTGTTGCCTGAGAGATCATGAAGAGCATATGGTGATAAAAGGCCAAAGAAATGTTGACTTAAGACATGATTTTCAAAAATCTTCATCAGGGAGCACATTAGCAGATACGGGCAGAACACCTGATTGATTCAGTGGCCAGAAAGAAAAGCACAAGAGTCAAGATACCCAAGAGAAGCACAAGAAGAAGAAGAAAGGCAGGAGCGACACCGAAATGAAGTTCTTGATCCCACGAACAACTGTGTGACAGGAAAAGAAGCCAAAGACTGGCAGCTCAAGAGTACTCTACATCATCTATATCTCTACACATCCGTCAATATGCTACAGAAGACTTGTCAGCATCTACACACCAATACCACACACGTAAGCAGATTTGGTTGTGAATCAGAAATATTATGTATGAGCTGACATGGTGCGAAAGGTGCAAGGAAAATGCATTAAAAGTCAAAACGTTAGCAATGAAGACAAGGCAAGTTAGTAATTGGGATCTTAGTTTCTACAGGACAGCAATCAGATGAATGTGGCTCAAAGGATAAGGCTGGTAACTCTAAAACCTTTCTTGATGATGTTGTTTGCCAACAACCAGATTTTGCGTGAAAAGACACGAGTTGAACATCCTATTCCTGTTTGTTGTACTCTGCCACAATTCCATCAATTTGTAGTAAGAATGATGTACAAACATTTTTCAAACAGGAGTAAATATGTCATTATTATTTATGTCAGCAGGACAATATTTTTTTCAGTAGGACATAGAAAAAAAAACACATTATGTGTTGATAGTAATGAAGGAACATATCACTCACTTAATAGTTTGTGGACAACAGTGATGCTCTATGGTAAAGTGTAAAACACGCAGAGTAGAATACATTATTGTTGTGTTCTAGCCTTTACTTGTCTTGTAAACATTTTTAAAAAAGGTTTGTCAAATCAATATATATTTGATAGTTTCAAACAATCTTCAACAACAGACAGAAAGTTGCCACAGAATTTCAGACTTTGATTCTATTTCTCATTAATAAAGGCTCTCATGGTGAGCTGTAGGCTCAAGAACATCTAGAACACTGACTTTGTGCTGCGATAATTTGTCATCAACTGTTTCCAAGGGCCAGGGCTCCAAGAATTGATTTCAATCTCAAGAAAAATCTAGATTATAACCACCCTTATCCTTTAAGATCGGTGTACATTATCACAAGGCTTATCCTTTATAGCAAATCACAGTTAAAACAACACTTAACGTCCCAGCAGTGGGAGAAAATGAATTGCATACATGTACCCACACAATGAACTAACTGTGTTTCATCACTTCTCTGAAGCATTTGGAATGAAAGTGTTTGATGAAGTATATGCTGAGCCATGCATTTAAAAGAAATAAAGTTTTTGTTCCACAGTGGGTTTTACCGAGCATGCTGTTCCCCTCTGCAGGTGACGTCTGTGATTCCTGAGCTGGTTGTTGAGCAGAGTCTCCACTGGACCCGTCAACTTCTACTTCAACAATGTCCCCATTGATGTTTAGATCAGGTCCCAACACTATTCCATGTTTCTAAACACAGTGCAAAGTCAAAACATTAGTTCAGTAAATGAGTTGCAAATAGTTCAGTTCAGTTCCGCTTTGATAGGAACAAGATTCCTCGAATAGAAGAAGCATTTCTGACAACATAATACAACAAGACAAATTAACTTTCAATACACCAGGAGCTGGTTTTACTTTAAAGGGATAGTTCACAGAAAAATGAAAATTCACTCATTGTCTACTCACCACTATGAGTAGTGATTCAGCCCAGGTGACCTCTTCTTCAGACGTAATAAAATAACAAACAAACATGCCTCCATGCTCGTGTGGGGTCATCCAAGTCTCTGCGAGCCCCGACATTCAGATTCGAAATATCGTCATTCACACTGTGTTTTAAGCCTAAAAGTCTAGCAAGTATAGTGAAGCTTGCCGACATAGCCACAGGAAAGTGCCCTTGGGCGAGAGTGTGTGCTGTTCCTTGTGCCGGAGGGTACGTGAACGTGAGGCTATCAGCGGACATTCAGGCTAAAAACATGGACTAAATGACGTCGATTTGAGTTGAATTTGAATTTCGGGGCTTGTGGGCACTAAGATGACAACACACAAGCAGTATGGAGGCATTTTATGTTTTTTCTGTTGTTTTGTTTCATCTGAAGAAGAGGTCACCATTGACTTCAACTTTATTGGATTCCGCTGCAACTGTATTTAAGACTCCAAAAGTGTTTTGTGGACTCAAACACTTCATCGGCTTAGTGGTGAGAAAATAATGAGTACATTTAATTTTTTCTAGGAACCCTTTAAAATTCAGTGTAGTTAATATGGTAATGAGATATTGAAAACCTTATTTTCTCTTTTATGGTTTCAAAATGTATTTCCTAAACGCTCACACTGCAGGCTGAACTTGGAGATCAGTAAAGACAGCGTGGAGTACAAGACAAATTAGACAGACATATTTTCGGAGTACCTTTAGAATGTCTTTGAGCTTCACCGCCTCCTCTCTGAGTTCATCTCGCTCAGTTCGGATTGCATCTGTGTATTCTTTCTGTCGCTCTAAGGCCTGAGCAGAGCCACAGCAGTGGCAGAGAGTGGCCAAGAGGAAGGAAATTGTGGAAAAGAAGTGAAAGTAAAAGGTGTTCAGCATCATGCAAAGGAGAAACAATACCAACTGTTAAAATCACTAAACCGCTGGACAAGAGTTCACGGGTCGTACCCCAATTTTTTTATCCTTCCACTCCACCGTCTCCTGCAGGTCAGATATTTCTCTAACAAAACCATCCTGTTTCATACGCAGCTGACGGATCTCCTGAGTAGCAAAGAAGGAAAACAAAGCTTGAGAGGAAGAGAGAGAGATCACAAAAAGAGTAATGCAGCTCATGCATACAGTGGATGAAGAAAAAAGAATGTTGTGAAAAGCACCTCAACATGCAGCTTCTCCTAGTGACGGACTGAGTAACACGCAGTTGTTTGCAGATGGTTGCAGACAGCCATCAAATTTAGTGAATGGTGAAAATGGCAAATACATAATATATAAATAAAGACCGTTTACCATTCTAACCCAGAGAAAGCTCCACGTCTACACAGTACTTCATACTTCAGTGACACATTTTCACACTGGGAGACAAATACTCACATTTAGCAGCTCTTCACTTTGTTTTAGAGTCTCTTTCATTTCATTGAACTGGAACTGAAGGACACTGTGGGCATGCTTTTCTCTGTCATAGTCCTGTGGAGAACAAAAGACAGTTTGACAACAGATAACTTTGGAGTTTTCATTTTGAGCTTCCGTCAAAAATTGTTGCTGCAAAGTGCGATGTCGTCATCCTAATCATGTTGTGAGCATTAGAGTCACATTTAATCAAAACAAGGCAGAATCTGTGAGTTGGTTTAATATTAACTGAACTTTGGTATAATCACAGTGTAATAACACTCATGTATAATGGGTCTTTGTCCAGCTTCATCTTACAGCTGACTGTTTATTCTCACATCTTCTGTAAAAAAAACTGTCAATACATCTCTTCAAAAACACTCAATGCTTTCAAAAGGTGGCCAAATTCTATAAAGCTCTCAGATCATCATCGTGTCTTCCTGATGTACCTTGACTTTCTCCTCGTATCCTCTTTGTGACTCAGACAGCAGCTCCTCCAGCTCCATGAGCGAGTCCTTGAGTGTGTCCACCTGATACATCAAGTTGTTTTTCTCGTTATCCAGCTGAGCGTTGGACACCATGGCTTTACGATACTTCTCCTCCACTTCTGATAATGTATCCTAATGTCACGACACAGAGAGGACATACCGATGTAGGAGGTAGTGACTCAGGTTAAACTCAAGTTCTTATCTTTATCTCTAAGTTTAAATGCTGGTAAGTCAAGATTTAAGTAAAGACATAAGGGCCAATGCTAACACACACACACACGCTATAATGAAGAAAGGCAGCAGCATGCAGAGGCAACTTTACTAACTTGCATTTTCACACACAGAATCATACAACTTTACAATGTGTGTCATTATTTGTGTTGAGTCTAGAGCACCACTATTAATCCTATAGTACTGCCCCACCAATGTTTAGATAAGCCAAATGTTTTACAGTGAGGAAAACAAAAATTTAATTTAATTCAGTTTCAATTCAGGATCTCAGTAAACTGTACTTTGTGCTCATTGTGCACATTTGACCTTTAGTGAGTTAAAAAACAATGAAACACCACAGTAACCAGTGCACGGCCCAGCAGATTTTGGGAGGGTCCCAGGCTTATACCTTAACTTCTTTTAGGTTCTGCGTGTACTTGGTTTCCACATCTTGAATCTGATCCTTCAGTTCATGAATCTCCTGGTGAAGATTGCAACAGCAGCAGAGGCAGTGGTGACAGTGAGAAGCACAGAGTGACAGCATCAGAACAAAGGAAGCAGAAAGTTTGGTGCAACAATCACACTGACGGAAGTGTTTTGCAGAAAGAATGCAAATGGAATGAACTGAGCACAGATCTGCATAGAAGAGCATTTTGATAAAAGAAACACTTTTTCTTGGATCTATTGTCGTCTTTCCAATCTGACATCAACTGAGATTAATGTAAATATCATAAATTATTGTTTTCTTATTTCTCAGAGTCTCATGTGGACACACAGGAAGCCTTTCTCTTCTCTTCCTCCCTCTCATTTCTTCAGCATTACCTTGATTTCTCGTATGGATGTCTCAGCGTCTACAGTTATAGCCGTCTCTCCACTTCCCCTTCGGGAGGATGTCCCACCTAAGGATGTGAGCGTTGTTGCGGTTAAGGAAGAAGCTGCTCGAGATCCCTAGGAAAGTGACAAAATACACATTTAGAAAAAAAAATCATTTAGCTCTTAAATTCTTACTGTAACACCCCCCCCACACACACCCCATATTCTCCATCAACCAGATCAATTAATGCATTTTAAATGAAAAGTGGTCCACTCACCTTCTCAAGATAATCTCTGTCCTCCACCTTTTGAGACAAAAAACAACAGTCAGAGAATTAAGAGGGTCATGGAAAGGCCACAAGGCCAAAAGGAGTGAGGGAGGGCAGAAGGAAAGAAGTCCCAAAATCTCAATCTGTTTTATATTAATGAACACATTACTTATATTTTAATGTGGAACATCATGCAAATAATTAGTCGATGTGGCAATCGAAACGTAACTGGTCTGAAATCCGTCTGACACACCATCCGTTCAACAACAAATAGTGTGTTAAAAAACAATAGAAACATCACATCATCCACAATCTCTGCTTCAAGCCCACAGTCAAAAACATTCTGGTTGTTAGACGAACTAGGAGTCTCCACAGTCACCACACAGGGCGCAAAGAGTAAGGATGAGTGACAAGAAACCAAAACAATCGAGCAGGAATTCAGCTCGCATCACGGCCACTGCATCCTGTGGGTGCCAACAGACTCACATCTGCAAAGTCAGGGATAGTAACATCGTCCAGGTCCCGGGGGAGGCCACTGCTACTGGCCGCACTCCTCAAAAAACTGGCAACAGAGCTGCAGTTGTCCTACATCAGCCAGCAGGGGGCGAGACATATCAACAAAGGAGCCAAACATTTGGAACAAGTCCACACAGAGAAAAAACTGCTATTTAAAAAAACAGGTTTATTTTTGAAACACATAAAAGACTAAATGGTCAATCATCCTTATTCTTAAATTGAACTCACCAAGTACATTAAATCATCTATGTTCTCAGAGAAAGAAGGAACTGGACTAGCTGCTATTTGAAATGAAAGGGGATGCACTAGCTGTCCATTTACCACAACTCTAAATCATGATAATTCCTTCTCAGTCAGTGACATCACTTTGGACATTCTGGTGTAGCCCATTGCTTCGTACAATGACAGCTGAGATCAACACACATCGAAATCCTAAACAAGCCTCAACTAAAGCACAGTTGCTGCTACAGGCTGGTGACTGTAGGATGTCTCCACTCATTCATGTGATTATTTTTACCTGAGTGAGTTTCAACTCATGTCTTACTAACATTACAACGTCTTATTAAAGCTGCAACCTTGCACCTTTGTGCACATCAGGGGGACAGTGCACATGCTGTGGTGTCAAAGATCCTTTATGATCTTTGGATTCTGCACCGGTTGACACCACGTTTTGGCACCAGCCATAAATAAAGTGTTTTTATTATTCTTTCCATTTCTACACAACTGTTAACACCTGTGTGTAAAGACAATTAATCGGTTGCGTGAGTTGTGATGTTCTTACTTCCCTGTTGCTCAGGAGAAGTTTTATCTTGTTCTTCCCCTTCATATTTCTCTCTAGTTGAAATGTTACACAGCATCTTGTTCTCCATTTACAAAGCATTAATATTGTGTATTAATACATATGCTAATCCATTTACACAAGAGAACAATCTGCTCTTTTGTGCAGAAATCAACGATCATATCTGTATCATGTCGCTCTTTAGTAACTGCACAGCATCTGCACTGCCCTCTGCACAAAGGATGTGAGGGCCCTTTAATGCTGCATGTAGCTTTTGGTGTCTTGAATCCTCTCTGATGTGAAACAGTGGATCATAACTGAATGCTGTAGTGTAAGAACATGATGACTTTTCAGTTAATGCATTAACAAAGCATCATGTAACCTCGTCATTTTGTGGGTAGCAGGGTGTCTGAGGAGTAAGAGCTCACCACTGGGCTGGCACGGGCTGAACCGGCCCTGCTGGAGGCTCTGGAGCCGGAACTGCGATAACTACTGTACTCTAATGGCTGCAGGGAAAACACACCATCATATTCCTGTTTAGACATCGAATCCAACGCAAGCAAGAACGCACAAACCTAGCCCAACACAACAGGTAGCAAATGCATCGTGGGGAGATATGTGATCGAGCAATTCAGAATCTGCATGCCATCACTATTAGCTAAGTGCAAAATGTGTTGTTTCCAAAACCACTAACAGAACTGAAACATTGAAATAGATCATCATAGATGCAAAGTGTTGCCCATGCAGCAGCAACAATCCCTATATCAGTCAAGAATTAAAGGAAGGTCCAACTCGTGTAAGAACAAGACAAAAAGCTTCTTTAACAACTGTTAGTCGCACACCAATTCAGTTATTGCACAAAAGCCTGTTCACAAATAACATGGCCACGCTCATGTTTGTCAAACCAACAAGACCAATCAAACCAAATCTTACATGGGAGCTGGATCCAGTGACTCTCCGTGATCCACTGCAGATGCTGTCTTCATATAAGGAGTTCTGCACATGTGACTCCACACACACACACACATATGCATGCAAAGTAAACAGGAGGCTCATGGTTCAGGTGTGTGAACACAGAACACTATCTTTAAGATGTCCATTTTACTACATCTCTACTCAATTGTGAAAAAAATACAGACAAACCAAAGTCCGTGCCAAATATTCAGTGGTGCAGTGACTGAAGTCAATGTTGAGTGGATGTTAACAAATGATGAAGCCCTTGCCTTAACCATTACAGCATTTGACACAAACAATTCTATGTGCTTATAGGAACACTGGCGTGAATGGGTAATTAAAGGCGTCAGTAACACTAGTGAAAGTTATAGTGATACAAGTAAGTTTATGGAACCAACCCTAAAATAGAGCTGCTGGCTGATCTGACTAAGTGACCTGTAGAACTGCACAATGGAAGGTCATGAGGAGAAAGAATGTTTGCACAAGACAGCAGGCAAATGAATAGAGTTTAAACTTGTAACTGATTTAAACTCTCTTTTCTTTTGTCCCCTCCAAAAAGAGTCAGTTCATAAGGTCAAGCTGCAGAGCATCAGTAAAGCTTTGTTAACTGTTTTTACCTCCAGGTGTTTATGTGTTTGTCTGTCTGGTATACAGACCTGGTAACCATTGAAAGTTGACCCTGCGTTTCTAGAGGACAGACCATTGAGACCGTACAGGTCAGAGGTCTGAAATGATGAGAGGGGCAGAAGGAGGGAAGAGTAATGAACCAAGAGATGAAGGGAAATGGGAAAAAGTGGACAAGAAGTTTAAAACATGCGTTTTGAAAGCCGCCAAACTTGTTAGCAAGGGTGCAACTTCAACTTGTTAGCATTGTATTCATACCATGGCACAAAAGTGTAACTCAGACTTTGTCTGTTTGGGTTGAGTAAATCCCATGCACAACACAACACAGATGCACAGACCAATGAAACTCATACTTCATGGCAGTCATGTATACATTTCAACTTTCACCTATAACAAAGCTTCTGAGGCTTTGTCCCAGGAAAAGTCAAATCGCACACAGACATTCATCTTTGGAAGTCATGAGTAGAACTTGTTTTTAACACAGAAAAAGAAGTTAACTTATCTGCTAGCCAAAATGTGTGAACTGAGACTCCAACACAAAGTAATTTCAAGAACATATCACTATGTATCAAGACAAACGTTTTGTAAAATTTCAATACAAACAATAAAGTGCTGCACATGCATGTATTATTCAGTAAAACACAAGACACCTTATTAGATGACAAACCACTACATGAGTCATTAAACAACAAAACGATTTTCACTAGTGGTACGCAGTTAATATTGCAGCACATTTTGCTCATGATCACAAGAGAAGTGCACAGCACAGGCCATTAGTGGTATGAGAGCAAAGCCACAGTCTGCGGTGCAGTGCCACCCACCGGCTGCAGGTCTGATCTAGAGGCACGAGACAACCGGTTGTCGTCACTCAGTCTGGAGCTCTGCGAGTTGGGGAGCACAGGCGATATCATCAAACCACCACAAAAACTAACGTCACCAAATCCATCTGACAGAAGTATTTGAACAGTTACGCATTTGTTGGTTTGTTTTTTCAACATTTTGAAAAAGAAAGTGTGAACTGGTCGTCTGAGGAGCACAAGTGTTGAGGATGATGGACAAACATCTTTATGGCTGCAGAGCACTGTTCTGTTTAACACTGGCAGAAATAACTGGTTAAAATGAAAGAAGCTATTAAACCATGTAAAACTAGCAGGAGTGGTTTTCTGAATGAAAAGTATTTGCGTTGAGAAGCTTCAGTTCTGGATGAGTGGAAAAGTCCCTGTCATTCATATTTTTAACCAGACGTCCTTCCTCTATGCAACACTATGCAACTTTTTTACCCTACAACAGCAGCTTCAAAATGAGTTTAACGGTTCACTGACTTGGAATGAGGAGAATGGTGATCGGATCATTCCCACTCCTCACCCTGAATGGTTGTAACTCTGGTGAGTGGGTACGATTGTCACAATCAGGTCCAGCAAGTTCAAGAGTAATGCCAGTAGATCAGTTCAAAAGACTTACAAGTCAATTAATCTCAAAATTCAACCAGGAAACTTTTACAAGATGAAGAATTCTAAACAGTGTTTGGTATTTTTTATTTTTTTCTCTACATGAAAACTAACCCAACAGAGTTAATCACCATATCTAGCTGCAGAGGGTGCTGTTGCTCAGTAAAAGTTACACAGTGTTGCTCTAAGTTGCGAATTCCTCTACTTTTTATTCCAAACTTCAAATTCTACAGAATTTTCCTCTGTCTAAAGGCTTAGGGTGATGAACTCAACACATCACTCTGTTTAGGTTTGGCCACAATCACACAAACTATCAACACCAACAAAGTTTCATACAAATGTGGCTTTGTACATACAACATATGACTTTTCAGTAATATGGATCTGAGGGGGCCAACACGCACCGTTAGGTCTAGCCTGGATGCGCGGGATACCCTGCTTTCATCACTGAGTCTCGAGCTCTGACAGCATGTGAGAGAAAAGAGAGTAATGAGTGATGGGATGCAGCTTCTGTTATTTCCCTTCAACAGGAGGAATCATGCAGTTCACAAAACATCCCTACAAATGACCAAATACAGATGTGCGTACAGTCAGTTTAACACACAGCTACTAACCCTGCTGGACATGACACTGTAATCATCATCATTGCCATTCCCCTGCGAATAAACAACACGATTGAGAAACACTGATGCCATTTCTGAAGGCCATTTGTGCAGTTTGAGCTTCTACATACATCTCTGTCTTTGTGCTTATGTTTCTTCTTTTTCTTTGACTTCTTATGTGAGGAGCCCTTAAGTGTAGGAAGAGATGGAGAACCATGAAGGATGAAAACAAGCCATCTAGACAAATCTTTTCTCACTCCAAAACCAGAATGCCAAATGTACATCTTTCATTGCTTTCAAAGCACAGTTATCACGGGGATAATCCAGGCAACACACAGCAAATCCACATGCACAACGAATGGACTCTTCAATCTGGCCAGCCACTGGTGAAATGTATACTCAAGGTCACAGTGGAACGACATGCAACCAACAAGACAAAACAAACGGATTCATCTGATGAACAGACTGCCAAAGAAAACAGCACTTACAATGAAGAGACACAATTGATCCTAAAATAGTACTGACATGGGTTTCGGTTAGAGCCAGATAACAGTGTTCTTCTTTCTCCAAGGTTGGCAATGATCCTTCACAAAGCTCAAACAAATGACCGAACATAGCATCTTGAAAGGTTTACAAGAAACTGACTAAGTTAGTCCACATTCATGCATAGTTTCCAACATAATGCAACAGATCTTTAAAGTAAACAAAATGTGTCGTTCCGTTTATGTCAATTTACATTGACAGACAACCCACTGCGCCTTATGAGTAAAATCTGTTTAATTCATACGTTATACAAAAAATATTAACACACAAACATTGTTTGTGATTATTTGGCTCGTTCCGAACAAGCTGTTAGTCAAACAACAAGACAGGCAGACAGGTTAAAACTAATCCATGGTCTATGTTTGAAGAAGATCAGCCCTTACCCCTCCAGCATAAGCTCCGACCGCATCAAGATCCGACTGTGCACAAAACACGACAACATCAACACTGGCAACGAGTGCCACCCACACTGACGCACCTTATTCAATGATCAAGGACAGACACACACAGCCTCCACATGACTAAAGCTTGAAGAAGAGCAGGTGTATGAATTAAAAGGTAATTTAACTTATACTAATGACGACTGAAAGAGAAAAGGCGTAAAGGGGATTTTTTTTTTTTTGCATGTGCTGTTTGAGTGATACTGACCCTGACACTTCCCCGGCTTCCCACTGACATCCGCTCATCATCGTCTGAGAGCTGTGTAAGAGAGTGAGACATTGAGATGGATGGTTAGACTGGACACAACATGTGATGCACATCAACAATGACAGTGAACAGTGGATTTTAACAGCAGGTATTCTATGACTGCTCTTTATGTGAACTTTGTTTTTAATTGGAATTATGTACTTAAGGCTGCTATATGTACGTTTTCTCTGCTACCAAATATGGTTTCTGCATTTCTTGGTGATGGTCACTTGCCAAAAGTTCAAAAGTATCTTGACTGAATGAAGAAGCACATCTCTGAATTACAGTGATTTCCTGTAGTATTTTGCAAAACACAATCTCAAGTAAAAGCCAATACTCAAAGACTTTGTTAGCCTGGTCAGCTAAAGTAAGCTGCAAATAAAAGCCAGGTTACACAAAACTGGACATCTGGACAAAAATTATTATTATACAAATTTTGCATTGCAATCACTTCTACTTTGCTGTTTTTTTTAATCTCAATTAAAATATATTTTCTAATAAAATAAATGAAGTTGCACTAATAGAATTAGGGTGGTGAAAATGGAGGATGTTTTTAGAGTTTGTTTTAACAACAAATTAAACCAGGAGCACAAAAGAACACAGGAGGACCATCTCATGATGAACACGTGGTAAACACAGAAAACAAGTGATTGAGGCCTGTTGCTTAAATGATTATATTCCAGATAATAGACTTCAGCAATGTTTATAACAGTTGCTACTTTGCAAATTATCAATTTTACAGTACATGTTCATCAACCTGAATCTAACATTGAATCATTTGTTGTTCCCTTGTGGCTTTCTTTTCAAGTGATGGAAGACCGATTACAGTTCAGAGAAAAGGCATGAGGAGATGGAAACAGAGGGAAGGCTACAAACCATGTGTATCTGTGAAGAACGTGAGTATCGCTCACTGTCCTCCTGGATGATGGAGGGAGGAATGAGGGAGGTAAACATGGAGAGGAGAGGGGATGAAGAGCGTGAAGGAGGAGAGAGATGTCAAAGATCAAGGAGACAGATGGATGAAGAAGGTAACTATCAGGTCAGGGAGTTGCATATTTATATTTCAGCCAAAAACTGTTGTTATATCACTGAGCTAGTTTTCCTTTAAGGATCAGTGTATTTCAATACGTTGTGAGGATTTTGGTTGAGACAGTCTGCTGTCAACTCACATGAAGACTAAACTTAAAGACCACATGTATAGTCATTTTATGGGATGGGTTGTAATAGCACTGACAAGAAAGTTGTCTGCAAAGAATGAAAAAAAAAAAAAGTTATGTATACAACCAATATACACAGCTCAAGTAAAACTAAGTCAGGATAGGGACAAATAAGGTGATTGAAAGTCTTCAGATTTCAAAAGTGAGTTTGGAGTCAGATTTAATAAAAATATTATCGACCATCATCCCTGTTGACACGACATGAAGAAACAGTTTTTAAGTAAATACTCAGGTAAAACATCACTGGAAACTTTGGTTCATTCCATGCAATGAACATACGGCACCAAGGCAATGAAAAAATACATACGTTTTACAGGAGTCCTGTATGTTCTTATGACCATCACACTCAATCAGTAATCCAGCCAACAAACCACTGATGCAGTTAGCAACAACAACATGGGAAGACTGTCCAAACTCTTAACTCTCAAACTTAAGCAAAATCCTGTCACCTCTTCCAATGCACCTTCAAAAACACACCATGGTTAATAAAATTAGTCACTCACACTTTTCCTCATAGTTGTGTTCGAACCTCTCTTATGATATAGGATTATTCAATCCAGGTATTTTATGTTAAAATCAACACAACAAACTCCATGCAGTCTCTCACACCAATAGGGCAGATAGTCATGCTGATTGAAAGCCAAGTGGGCAGCCTGGTCTTTCAATGAGATTAGCATTAATGGCCAAGCTTTGATTCATTATAATCTGTTCTTTTCTAAAAAGGCTCAACAGGAATGATCCGGAAATTAAAAGCAGACTGGGCACACTGTAAAACCACCAACAAACAGGAATAAACTCATGCAAACATATGAAGATCATGTTTGTTTTAATTGTTGTCATCAAAGCACAGAAACTGTACCATCCATTGTTCAATATCTCCCCATCTGTTGTCCACACGCTCATCAAATTTGGTGTTCAGGCCATAATACTTCTAAAAGGAGACAGGAAATGAGGGCAAGAAAAAATACAGAAGCAAAGGTAACTGATTTCCATTATTTTCTTAAAGAATGAGAAGCACAAAGATTATTTCAAGCTGAGATCAAGCTTAAGGCCAAGGTGGAAAAGAGGAAGAGGACGCCTACCTTCTGCACCTGAAAGATCTACACACCAACACCGGTGAGGGGAAGAGGGGAAATGTGGGAAGATATCAAACATGAAAAGAAGAGAAAATAAAACAGCCTTAAAAACTTAGATGAAAGGAATTAAGGTAGGAAATTATATGTCACTGAAAATGAACTGGAGCCAAGATGAGACATGCAGAGGCACAAGAATATGAAGTGCCCCCTCCCCTGCACAACATGACCAGCAGTAAAAAAAATAAAAAAATAACAGGAACACACGATTTAAAGCCTTAAAAGACTTTGTTTACGGAGATCTGCAAACAAGACATGAAGTCTGACAAATCATATTAGAAGGTGATTATTAACTATTATCAACAATGGATAGATGGTCTGGGGCTCAGTATCTTGCCCAAGGACACTTCACCACATGGAATTCCGACGATGTATCCCTTTCACCTAAATCTTACACACTGGACCCTTAATACACTGTATACAAATCCTGCCCTTAAAGCCATTGTAATACATTATAATTTTTATTTTATTTTGTTATTCATTGCGGCTTCATTCAAGTAGCATCAGTGTTTGATGAATCTTTGAGCACATCTCAGAACCCCCTACTGATGAAACCCAACACAACAAGCCCAAAACACACCCTTGCCCTACTGTTGCACTTTCCATCCCATCGGGCCAGTACTTTAATCCAGATTTGTTGCCACTGTCTCCTTGTATAGTTGCCCAACATACAGCTTTCCTGCTTTGTGATTCTGGCTTTTATAAATGGATTTGCAGCAGACATCTTTGTCCACTGCATCACTTCAGTAACAGCAGCAGTGCTAGATAATCAATACGAGACAGTTGATCCACTGCTCTGAGCTCCTAGGTTCAGCCAAAATGAAAGGTCACATCCCCACACTGACAACCTCTAAATGCAGGAGACTCAGACAATCTGCTGCATTTGTCCTGTCTGCTTAAGAAAACAAAATCCTTTATTTTAAGAGGGGAAAAGTGAGTAGCAGAAGTCAGCTGCATACACTATATAAAATATCACGACAGAAGTGATGGGGAAGCTTAGGAAGCTGTGATACATTACAACTGTTATCCATAACTTTGGGACAAGTGCAAGAATACAGTAATTCAACAAATACATCCATCATAACCAGTAAATATCCATTTTGTTCTATTAAAGAAACACAGAACATCTCTGCATTTCTTTGACCCCTGACTTCCAACTCTCTCCATTTTTACCTTTCACATCTGCCTAAAAGCTGTCAATTAAAAGATAAGGTTTTACACATCAAATAAAATGTGAGAATTAACCAGAGCATAATTTGGCAAGAAATGATCGATGAAGAGTCCAAAGCAGATGAATAACTGACTGGATGGATTGTGTCTACTACTTAACTCATATTACTTGTCTGGACAACCAATTAGCAAGCGAGCGAGGCGACGTCATAAACCCATTCATCGTTGAGTAACCCAATCAGCTTACATGTTTGCCACTGTTCCATTCAACTCACCGAGCTCCCCTTCTTGACCGTAGGGGTTCTTGGGCGCCCAGTGAGGGCAGCCTTCAGCCCCCTCACTGTAAGCCGATGCCCGGCCGTCCTGTTGCACTCAGGGTACCAGGAAAGGTTGCATTCCTCAGCACGAGAGACCACGGGCGGTATGTAGGCAAGATCACGGCAGGACACAACGCTAAGATTTCAGAACAAGAGGGGCAACCCCACACATCTTGTTTCCTGCTGTAAAGCCAATAATCCACCTTTTCGTTCTGTCTTCAATGTGTGAGAAAACATCCAAAAACTCAGGACGTGGCTGTGAGCGCTGCGACCCATCGCTCATGTCAACAACATCGCAACAGTAATAACTGCTCCACTGGAGCCTGGACCTAGGACCGCAACCTGCTAAGCTACTTTAGAACTCTGCTAAAGGGTTTAGGACGCATGGCTGGCACACACACACAGACACACAGACACACACACACACACACACACA